GGACAAAAATATACCAGGTGGATCTTTGCATCAAAAATGCACCCATAGATAACAATGCAAAGGTGCCCTGATTTTGACTACACAGAAAATGTAACAGTTAGAGACCACTTGTTGTGTTTTGTGTGTTGTTTCATAGTTAGAACTCGCCTCCTAAAAGTAATCAGGGATCATCTACATCTATGTCAATCACTCATCTTATTTTGGGACAATGCACATAAACCAGATGACACATTTTAGAAAAGCAAAATAAATGGAGGGCTTCTATATACTCCATTAAAAAATAGTAATAGCTGTAGGGTTTAGAATTTTTGATCTGTGGTCGTTAAAATAATGTTAGCATTAAAGTGCAATGCCAGGTAATTCTCTCCTAAGACAGTTCCAGTGAAATAAAGCTGGCTAAACATTCACCTCATACTGTTAACTAAAAAGCAATAATAGAATCATTATGAACCGATCTTTCTCATTCTCACTCCACTCTTATTTTATATACATATATGTAGCAGGCCTACCTGTGCCAGTGTTAATTACCTATGTACAGCTATATACACTACTTACAACATCAAAAACCGTGATTTCTCTCCCTCAATATAAAAAAACATTAAATACCACCTTGTAATTTGAGAAAATATGAGAGAAACAAAGTGTTACATTTTACAGAGTATCATTCATTGACAAAGTTAAATCCAAATTACAAAAACCTTACATCTTACTAATGACATAACAAAAACATACTTTCAAAAAGATAAGGAAAAAAGTTATTTGTCCAATTTTACATAAATCTTTACACTCAGGGCCCTTTAACACAAAGAAAAGAAAAAAATATGATACCATGATTGTATACAGTGTAACAATTTTTAAAGGGCTCATTGAAATAAAACAATTCAAACTTCAGCATTATGTCCTACATGGGAAAAAGATGTCAAATGCAGTCACGCAGCATTCAAACAAATATTAAGATGATGACACAAAGGAGACTAGTCTATGATTAAGACTGCCAAATTGTTATGGTTACCTTAAAACCCTAAGCTTATCATCAATCAATTCAACTAACCAAAACATGATGAAAATCTACAACAGGAACAACCTTACTTTGGATTTAAAACCTTCACATTTATAATTAGGACATAAAAGCTTTGATTAAACTAAATAATCCTTATTTTAGTCAAACTGTCTACAGTTTAAGACATACTTCTATCTGCTTACTTTTATAAAATCAATTTGTCATACATTATAATTGGCAGTATAATATACACTTTTTATGCACCTTGTATGTATTGCATATAAACATTGTGATGATAAAATGTGTGTCAGATTTTCAATTTGAAAGTCTAATATTCTGCAGAAGTTTGTCATGTATTTGTCCCTATAGTTCTTGGAGTTGTAGGCCGGCTTTTCACACTCCCTGACAAAGTGGTTTCAACTATATAACTGCCTTGTATATTAGTGGCACTTTCCATTGGTTCCACTTTTACGCTACCTGAAAGATGGTAATGTCAGCTTTAAATTTAAAAAACGTCAGGGTGATCTTGAATACGTTTACCATAGCTTAATGGTATAAACAAGCATAGGTGTTGATTACTTCAATCACTTCACATATTTTATTGATTTTTAATTTGGATGTAACAATAGGTAAAGAATAAAGGTCACTATATATATATAAACATTGACAGGAGTGTTAAAAAGGTATATTGATGTAACCCTTAAGACATGCCCACAAAATCATCTCAGGACAGCGTAAAACATACAAAATTTAAATTATTTGACTGAAACAAGCTACTGCCTCTTAATAACAAATAAAGGGTTTCTTATACATCCAAGTGAAAAAAAAATTAAACTTTACTGTTATTTAACATTTTGCTTAAGTTGTTTGTATTAAAAAAAAACATGCCAGAAACATACCTACTTTGGGACTGTTTAGAAAAGTAGTAGGTGATGCTGAGCTCATTGGGGAAGAAAAATTCAGGAGCGAAGATCCCGATATATTAAATGGAGATGTGGTGATTGGAATGTCCAGGTTCAGATCGTCCGAGTTAAAGTCATCCCAGATGCCATTCTGAAAGAAAACAGATTTAATGTTATTTCATAAACATCAAAGACAGCATTGACCACCAAATGTATTCATTTTCATTTTTTTTTTCAGCTCCTTCAGAATGTGACATACACATACAGACAAAATTTAGTTCAATTTCCATTTTACTTAATGTTATGCTTCAGTAAACTCAATAGTTTCTTTCAATGTTTAAAAGAAAAGATTACTTTAACTTTATTTTTCCCCTAACTGTACAAGTATTCATTTAGCCTAAAAATTCAAAATAATATTTCATTCAACAATTCAAAACCAAAATCCTACCTGTAAGGCTAGCTCTGACAGAGAAGGATCCAGTTCTAGATTATGATCTAATCCATTCAGAGTTCCAAAAAAATCTCCAGAATCTTTCATCAAAGTTGGGTCTTTCAGCAGACGTGGGTCATCCATGTTGTACTCAGGTGTCATTGGCTCTGGATCGTCCTGAATACTATTGTTGCTAGGAGGAAGACCTGCTTCTCCTTTCTCTAGAATATCTAAGTCTTCTGCAACAGAAAGTACATGAATTTGTTTTACTTATAAAATCTGACTTCATAATCAAATGGAAACATTCTTTTATTCAGACCATCAGAATGTCCATTTTCCTTGTTTGAAAATTGTTGCCAAAACATGCATCATTTGAATGACCCCAAAATATATTTATAAAGTGGTTCTTGCATATCAACAAAACAAGTGGCATACTCACATACAGACAGAATTTAGCTCAATTTCTTGTTTATCACCAACAAAAAAGTCTGCTTCTTCTCAATTCTGTTGATGAGGTTTCATAATATAGATTATTACATACAAAGCACCAAAAATATATACTGGTACTTGTAATTCATGTAACTTGTTAGTCAAAAAAATCCATGAATTCATGCCACACCATTTAACATACCTGGTTTTGCCATACTCCTCTTGATAGCAATGGGGTCCTTCTTTCTCCATTTGGCTATCTCATCCATCATTTTCTCTATTTTGGCAGGATTCATGGCCCATAGGCACCCCTTCCTGGAGGTCCCTCCACCCTTTGGATTCTCAATCTTCTCAAAACACTTGTTCAAAGACAGGTTGTGGCGAACAGAATTCTGGAAGGAAATGAAAAAAAATTGTGCAAATGTGACTATTATACACTGCAAATTGTTGTAACTTGTGTTCAGAGACGGACTGTGCCTGGCCAAATTCTCAAAAGAAGTTATTCAGTACCAAGGATGCAGAAAGTTTTTTTAGATATTGACAGTTATTTCTCTTATTCAGAGTACATTTCTTTACAGTCCAGTGTAACTTTTTGCATAAAAAAAAATGATGACATCACCGAGTTGGTCTCTGGTAGAGAGTAATTAAAGGGAAATATCAAACCATTACTGACATACCATTTTCCAACCGAAAATCATGTGACACTCTATACAATACGGTAAAGTCTTGAAAATTTCGTCGTTCTTAAAAATTTCGTCGGCAGACGATTTTCCGCCGACGTAATTTTTTTCCCTTTGAAAACTTCGTCGACCTTGAAAATGAGGTACTCGATAATTTTTGAAAAGTTCGTCACCAAATATGGCCGCGTTGTCCAGCTCAAACATGAAGGTAATGCGTCAGTTGATTCAAGACAATGATACGATCAGGATATCATTGCCGATAACACTCTCAATGGGAGATAGGAACAATAGTGCGCCCCTGCGAGCGGTTACTCACAATATAGATGGTTTAGATGTGAATTCCCGTTCTCAATTGCAGGAACGTCGGCCTTTTGTCTTTAGTTTCATTACTATTACCTGGCTTAAGGTGCGTTATCAAGCCGGTAAATAGAAGTCACAGGCCGCGGCTTTGTCATTTGTAACGCCGTTATTGTTATCGGCGGCTGTCCTAAATGAGGAAGACACAATGAAAACATCAAGATATTATCTCGAAGTGAAATGTACCCGTCTCTTCTATTCATGTCCATGTTCAACTTAGGACCATTTGACGATTACCTGGCTCGTACATGGAGATCGTTCGCAATGCGAATGGGACGAGATGGCAATATTCATATCTTCAGCGGAGAATTGTTCGCGATCCAAACGAGACGAGAAGATAATTTTCATATTTGTAGCGGACTACGTTCGCATAAGATCATCAGCGGGAGATCGTTTGCGATTCGAGAGAGACGAAAAGGCAATCTTCATATCTTCAGCGGGAGATCGTTCGCGATGTAAGCGAGAAAAAATGCACTTTTCATATTAGTTCAAGGGAACTTCGTTCGTGGAAGATCGTCAGCAGGAGATCATTATTTTAACCCCCTCTCCCCCTTTGAATTTTATAAATAATATATATTTTTAATTTTATCTTTAACTCCCCCTTCCCCCGCTCATGGCATATCTTCGACGGAGAATCGTTTGCGTACTATCGTCAGGACTTTGTTCGCGTAAGATCGGCAGAGGGAGATCGTTCGCGATCCGAGCGAGACGAAAAGGCAATTTTCATATCATCATCGGGAGATCGTTCGCGATGTAAGCAAGAATGAAATGCAATTTTCATATTAGTTCAAGGGATTTAGGGAACTTCGTTCGCGGAAGATCGTCAGCGGGAGATCGTTCGCGATCCTTGCTAGACGAAAAGGCAATTTTCACATCTTCATCGGGAGATTGTTTGCGATGTAAGCAATAAAAAAATGCAGTTTTCATATTAGTTCAAGGAACTTAAATTGCGGAAGATCGTCAACGGGAGATCATTATTTTAACTCCCTGTAAATTTTTAGGAAGTTACAGATGGTAATTTTAGAAGGCCTGACACTCAATCCTGGGAAAAGCCCTGCATGCAACAAACGTTCCCAAGTGCGTAATTTTTTTTAACATGTCGCGTCCAGGTTATGATGCAAGGTTGAAATTAGGCTTATCTTGATCCTTCTCCTCTATCAGGAGGTATGTTTCTTACCGAGAAGATAATTCTCAACATGTTTTCGGGTACAGTAAGTCAAGTATAACTTAATCGAGATGCACTTATAAATAGATTATTTACCAACAGAAAATGACTTAGGAAGTAGTAATAAATATCCCACAATATAGGAGGGTCAAAGATAACAGTCGCTAAGGATAAAAGCAGAAAGGCCGGATTTTTGAAAATTTCGTCATACCCAGGAGTCGGGGAGAGGTAATTTTGAAAAATTAGTCGGATTTACACAATTAAAAATATAAATTAATTTTTAAGCGACGAAATTTTCAAGACTTTACCGTATATGCAAAAATCATCAATCATGTCTGCCAAGTGTAGTCATATGCAGTCATTCTTTCTCAGCACAAAAACTAGGACTTCCAGAAACAGTGCATTATAGGCTTATGCAAGGCCATCATATTCAAGCTCTACTGTAATCATATATCATATCCTAACATATCAAGACCAATCTTTTGTGCAAGATATAACATTGTCAAACAGGTTTCACATGTAATTAACCCAAATCTTTCTTAATCCTCATATTATTAAATCATGTGTCTTTATTTGACAAAACTGATTCAATCAGAAAAGCCATCATTATCACTACAAGTGGCTTATGCAATAAATACTGATTTTCCTTAAACACAAGTGGATGAAGGAAGGCACATGGCAAAATCACAGCAATATCATTACGAACCAAAGCAGGTATCCATTCTCACGGAAATGCATTTTAGACATATATGTGAAGACAGAAACCCAATCTATTTAGAAACAAGCATCTAACATATTTATACCAACTGAAGTAAATATAAAACAGAAAAATAATTACAACTGGAAATGTCACATTCACAATTACTTTTAGACTTTCAAAAAATCTTTTCAAAATCGATTTAAAATGACTGAAATCTAATGTGCAAGAGAGCTGTACATAATTAATATCAAATTCCCATGACCCTAGTTGTATTTCATCATCAAGGTCAACCAGATTAAGTCACCTGCATAATTTAATGATGTACTGCACCTTGTTCAAAGGTGCTACTTAGATTTTCCTGGGTCATCCTAAGGTCACAGTATATTTAAAACACTAGGTGTTTATAAACATTCCTGCTGATAGGAGAGAAAACTTTTAGGTGACTCAACTCTTCAAATCAAACCTGTCAGGCACATATTTACACTGCGCATGTTTCATTTTAAAACTTCTTGGTCCATCACTTATATGCCCCATTCAGATCATCTTCAGGATTTCTGTCATTGATAATAATATCCATTCATTTATTTTAGAGAATACTATTTATATACAATAGAGTGACTTTATTGTAATCAAAGCACTAAAGCAGCAATTATGTACAATGAGTACAAATTACAGGATATATCTACATGGTAACTATATAAGGGCCAAAGTATCATCCCTGCTTTCATATATATGGACATAAGTGACATAATTATCTTTTGTTTTAGATCTGCATTATAGCTAACAGAACCTAGTGAAAAAAAACTGCTTCAACTTCAAGAAGAAATGCATTTCTGTTATAGGCATATTTCTACATTTGGTTCAAATTTAGTGTATCTGAATAATTCCCTCATAGAAAACAGATTTATGAAAGAGGCTATCACATAAAATGAATAACCAAAATACTGCATTTTGATTATAATCTAAGTCTTCTTTCATCATAATGTGCTTGATATGATGTATTGGTATTGCAGAACAATTCCACACTGCAATCTATAATGATGATTAATATGGGCTGACAAAATTAAGTCTTCAAGAAATCAATAACCACATTAATATCAACATTCTTGACAAAATACAAAAATTGACATCGACACGTGTTCTTTACCACATAAAACATTTCTTCACTCATTCTTTTGTCATTATATCCTTTAAAGTGAGCCACAACATTCCTTGCAAGCAATTTCCATTGATAACAGGTATTTCCATACAACCTTCTATAGTTAGAGAGTTTTTCAATACATTCAAGCCCACAATCTGTATAAACAAAACAACTGCAGAGTATTGTGGACAATATAACACTAATAACTTATTCATCAATGAAACAGGTGACTTGAAATAAACGGTAACATGGATAATAGTTCTATTCTTTGACATAATACATTCATATTGAACACTGATGTCATTACTCTGTGAAAACAAAGACCACAGAAGTTCCTGGTTATTAGCCATGCAATTTTATTGATTTTGTTCAAGTTATTAATACCTACCTTCCATCCATCTGGAGCAGACTTGAAGTAGGGGAAATTCTCTCTGTAAATAAATAAGTGTGTGGGTGAATAATTGATATGGCAAGTGATAATGAAAGTGATTCTGCAGATTTAGATCATAAAAGAAAAGGGGAAATTATGCTACAGTAACCACCAAAATAACATTGGACTTTTTGAAGAAACTTCTCATGACAGCTACAAATATGCTGTGGAACAATTGCAACTTAGTTTAAAACAACATAAAAATTGCTCCTAATATATCACTGATTCAATCCAAGTAAATTTCATTAACTTTTCATTGATCTGTCTACATTTTTCACTGCCTGATTTAACTGGAATAACAGACACTTAGTATGGTAAAACGCGTCTTTGATTTTCAAAACATACATCTTTTGTAAACAAATCTTACAGTTGTTTCCACTATCAAAAATTCAGATTTTATTTCTTTTATATAATAAAAGCAAAACAGATGAAAACATTGGCAGTCACAATTATTCACAATTGTAAAAACTAATCCTTAGTACTTACATCATAAAATTGTAAATCTCACTGACTGGCAGACTCCCAGCCTTGCTATTTTTCAGTGCCATTGCTATCAAACAGCTGTAAGAATACACAGGCTTGGGGAACATTTTCTCCGTTTCTTGTGTAGCGACCGCAGCAGGTCTTTGGTTGTTAAAAGTCTGAGGGCTTTGCTGATATTGGAAATATTGCTGTTGATTCTGCATACCGTTAGGACTCTGTAGATGCTGCTGTAATACTGCAGTGGAGGCAGGCTGCTGTATGTACATGGGCTGTTGAGCAGTAGTTGCAATATTTGCTGGACTAGTGATTGTCACATACTGCACTTGCGGTGCTCCGTGGCCAGCAGGGGAAGGAGCAGCACCTGCTATGGAGATTGCCATGGGCTGACCAATTTGTGTCTGAATAGGCATACCAGTCTGTGGATTAACAAGCAGGTTAGGGTTGTTGTTCTCTGCCTGTGCTAGTCTTGACAACTGGGGCACATCCACATTGTGAAGCCAGCTTAAATTCCCCAACTCTGAGCCAGCAGATGATTCTAAGTCTACATTACCTCCTGTGGTCTGAACCTGAGCTACAGATTGGAGGGGTGGTTGAATTTGAATTACAGCAGAAGAAGTGATGGCTGCAACATGGCCGTTGACATTGACGTGATGACTGACACTATTCGAATTATTTAAACTGGTGTTTAAATCTTGAAGGTTTCCATTCCTCAAAATGTTATCAATTTCCGATCGCAAGTCGCCCTCAATCAGCTCCTGCATCGACATGGTTTCTGTATCACCTATTCTGTAGAACTCCATAGTCCAACTGTGTGATGGCAGTTTCAAATTTAAATCCCTCCAGAGCGAAATTTAAAATCCAGGGCAGGTGCTCGCTGCTTTTCTACTCCAAATTTTCCAAATTTCCTAACGATCTGGAAGACATCGAGCAAACGAAGAATATACTGTTACCTTGCAAAAATTATGCAATTAATATTTGCCATTAATTCTGCAAAATATAGGCAAACGTCAATATTTTCAAACTGTAGTACTACTTATTCTGTGTACAGTAGTAAAATTCGTTACTAACCCTGGGTGAAGGACAAAGCCCACAGGAAGTTCAAAGTCCAATAAGCTGATTGGTCGAATACCGTCACGTGGGCATATTGCTTCGATCTAATTGGTTGATCATATTGCCATTTAAAAATGACGACCATTTATGGTAGAAAGAATGTTGGTGCTTTCAAATATGAAATCATTATTCTTTGAAATTAAATAAAAACTAAACAGAAGATATTCTCAAAATGGAGAGCTCTTATCATTTACAGGTCCAAGGTCGACCGTGAGAGCATCTTGGTCAGTGTCAGCTGTTAGCGCCCTCACATACTTGGACTCGCCCCTTTGGGGTGGTAGTACACAACAGTAAAGAAAAATAGTAATATTTTAATAAATCAGTAAGAGTGAAAAACTCACCTTTCGCATGACAATGTTCTTTAGGCAAATAAATGGTTTTTCAATAAGTAGTGAATCTCCACCCCATTGTACTGAGTTTAGATATTTCAAGCAAGACACCGCCAGATAGACTCGTCCAGCGAAGCCAAAACCTTGTTGTCATCCTTTTTCTTTTAACCACATTGTTGACAGGGCCTTCTTCGCACTCGTAATGAAGATGACAGCTCGCGTACAGGTGCCCGATGCCACGTTTTTGCACCAATCGTGACATTCTTGGCAGTTTTCATCCTCCATCGCGCCAAACTCGGCGATATAGTGATGAGACAAAGTTTTGCCGGGGTCGTGAAAACACAACGTGGTCATGTGACAAAGCATAAAACCGACAACAGAGCGCGTGGTGGACAGGGCGGGATGTTTCAAGTTGGATACCTCAAAAGGCATGCTGTTGGCGAAAATTTTGAGACTTGAACCATTTAGCCATTATCGTTATTAAAGGATAACAAGAAAAATGCTGATTGTGTAAAAATCAGTCGGAGATATGTTCGACAAGAGCATATAATTTAAAATACTTGGTACCTTCTGTTAAATTGCAAAGCGTTTACATGGTTTTATTCGTCCAAGTTGTTACATTACTGTTACTTATAATCCACCATCTTCCTTTCAAAGAATATGCAAAAAGAGAGAATTGAACGCATATTTATGTGTTTTACTATATATTTTTTCTTGCCATATGGGCCTCCCTGTGTAACATTGGCTGAAAATACTTTTTCAACCAATAAATATTAGCGCCCAGTTTCATAAACACGATAGCGCCATTCTCTGGGCAATTATCCTTTTTTTTTTTTTTTTTTTTGTCTCTGATATTGCTCTCCAGTGGTTTATAAAAGACTGCTATCCTCAAGATAACTTTCCAGAGGATAACAGTTTTATCCAAATGATAGTATTATCCATAGGATAGCGCTATCCTGTGTTGTTGAAACTGGGCCCAGATGCATGTCTTTTACATCGCATAACCAACTCGGTCAAAAATGGTAATCAGTCACAAAATATATTTTGATTACAGAACAATTGCCCTGTTACGCATAAAGCAGAACTTTGCTTGTGGCGGAGGTTTTAAGATGAAGAGTGTGACATTTTACCATAAAGAAGTAAAAAATAAGTAGTACTTATCAAATTTTTATGAGATATACGGTATTTATCTCCAACTAACCAGCTTTAATAATCCTCTTTGACCACAATCAGTGGCAGATTTACGGGGGGTGTCAGTGGGGTCCTGACCCCCCCCCCCCCCCCTTTCGATTTCTGAAAAAAATTACTCCAATAGGGTGGCGCGACAAGGTTATTTTCAGTTGCACCCTGGATTACGCGCGCTTGCTCTGCAAGGTGTCGCCTGTGG